CGTAACACATCCAGGTAAAAATGTTGGTTCACTGTTTGTCCTGGCGGAACGAACTCTTTGTGGACAATGCCATTCTCACTAATCGCCAAAGGGTTGAAACAGGAACGCACACAATAGAACACCACAGACAAACCACTTAACTCAGACTGACGCCAGCTCACTAACAGTCGCGGGAGACCCCCAGCTAACACCACCTAGCAGCACAACTCGTAACTACAAAGCATGCGCACGCAACAGGTCGGTTCCGGTTATTTTTGGGTCCCCCTTCGTACATTTTGGTATGCTAATGACAAAATATTTAATGAAAAGGTCTATGAGCCAAATAAATGTTTCTGTTTGGGTTATGGTTATGAGCTTGTGCAGCCAACCAATGACGATTATGATATTAATGGTGATCTCTTCAGCTTTATTATGTTGTGAATTGCAGTAATTAATAGTAACAATATAGTTCTTTTTCCACTGCCATTTAAACAGGGAACTAAAGAAGCCTTTATATGTGGACTGGGGACCTGGTTATCTTGGGTTAAGACACTTAATTCTTGTTCAGAGGGTTATGAGCAGCCCCTAGTCAGATCTGTGTGCAGGTATTTCTTCTTACTGCCAATAGTTAAAGATAAAATTCTGCTGCCCGCTGTACAACACCTTACCTACTGGTATGAAACTCAGCATAGTTAACCTACATTGTGTTTTACAGATTTCATTGTCAAATTCAGATTTTGAGTATGTCAGTCTTTTGCTGTTTTCAGCACACAAGAAAATAAACTTATCATGAATGTTCTGGTTTATGGCATGCTCTATGCCATTCAAACCTTTGTTATAATTTGTGTGTGTATTCATTTATGAATTATTCAATGCCAGTAGCACAGATTAGCAGCATTGTATGGTAAAGTTATAGTGTCCATGGCCTAATTTTAGGCATTATCCTGACATTTTCTGTGAGGAAATGAAGAAAACTATGACAACCCCAATCAGGATAGCCAGTCTCCAGACCGCAGTTTGAACCTGGCAACCCATATGGAGCAGGAGCGTAACCCACTGACCACAACATTTGGTGATTTGCATGTCTAATTTCCCTTTAAAACTATCTGTACAAAGTATTAATGTTCAGAACTAGAAGGTTAAGAGAAACAAGAGTGAAGTGATACATTTTTAGAAGTAATCGTTTGGGTGTGTACTATTTTTACATTGCTAGTTTTTGAAGTGCCTTTACATAAAAATTTAATAGTTCCACTAAAATTATTAAAATGATGAACTCAGTGTGTTACCATCTCTGATTTCTTTAGTCCATACATTCAATGAAGTTATTTTGTTGGGATATTTAATACAGTACAATATACAAATGAACTTGCAATTTATTTTATTGCCAACAGGAAGTGAGCTACTTCGAAATGGCATTGCCTGTAGAATCATGTATTTATCATTTATGACAATGAAAGATGTGCCTTGCAAGTTGATTTTAAGAGGTATTAGTCAATAAAGGAAACTTAGTTTCATATGGTTTTATTTATTTATTCATGGTTTAGAGAATATTGCTTTCTGTACATGTTTACAGATTCTAAAAATTGTGAAAATATACCAGTATATTCTGTTATGGTGAAGAAAAAGGTACATATTAATTTTTGTCAGAGTGTTGTAACAGGCATTGATGAATTTTAAAGAAGTGCATGAACTTGACTTACTGTTTTGTGTATTTCCATGTCACTTGGGCATACAAGGTTTTTTTTACATTCAGCAATACAAAATATACTTGGAATACACTGGCAGTTATTTCTAAGAATAATGCAAATATATTATGTCTTTAGGAGCTTAATATAGTTAACCACAAACATATGGAACATGAAAGATCTGAATGCAAAATATGATGCCTTTAATATATGTATTACACATATAAACATGAAACAAAATTACAAGATTAGGAATATAAAATGAGTTCTTTGTTGGATTTTCCAATTAACTTAATCCTTCCAGTTGCACTGTGGCCCTGGGGTCTGCTCGGCCTCTGACAGAAAAGAGTACCAAGAATCTTCCTGTGTGTAAAGGGTGGCTGGTGCATAAGGCTTAACCTCACTGCCATCTGTGAGCTGACCTTCTAGAAAATGTGGGAACCTCGACATCTCAGAACCCTGTGAGCCCCCACGGCCTGTTAACAGGGATAGCTTTACCTTTTTTTAACAGTACAGTATATAAAGTAATTTATTTCTTTTATGGAATTCAGTCATCTCTCAGAAAAAGTATGAGCACACTTTCTAGAAAATGGCATGACAAGAGAATCAAAACGGTTTTAGGGGCCTGACTAGAAAAAGAATGCACACCCAAAATCCATTATTATTCTCAATGAGTTCAACATCACTGTTGTTTTGTTTCGTTTTCAGCTTTTTTACAGTCTTACTTTAAAGGTAGGATCATGTCAGTATGCTGTAGTCTGCCAGTTGATATTTTAAGTGATGTACTGAGGAAAGACATGACAACAAATACCTTCTTGGGGTGAATTTTTGTTATAATTTTTATTTTAGTATATGGATATTATTAAAAGTGACTGTTAATTGCTGTATTTTTTCTGTTATTGGACCACTTTTAGCACAGAACTTTGATACCATAGGTGCATTCAGTATGTGTAGATGTATTAAAACTACCAGAATATCTATTTTAATTCTTTTACAAAGGTAACAGTTTTAAATTTGCTGTTCTGTATCTTACATTAGTATACTCCAAAAGTTTTATTTTAATTTGGAGTCTGTGATAGCGATGAATCTGCTAATTAGTCTGGATTTCTGAAACCAGTAGGTTGAAGGCCTGCTGTCTGTAGAGTATTATGTGAAATTTGATCTTTGCTTTTTGATATAATTTCTCATTTTGTAACAGTGAGTGGAAATTAAGATTTTAAGAAATTATGCAAGTGTGGGTTACCATAGTAACAAATTGTCAAATATTGGACAAACTTAAGGCACATAATAGATATGACTAAGTAAGCAATCTTTTTTTCTTTTAATAAGGAATTGCTTCCTGTGGAATCGGGCAGCCTATAACAAACAGGATTCCTGTATTAATATTTTCAGTTCACTATTGATTTCAGTGGGCTTGATCTCTTTTTGATTATATATAACTCCTTTTCAGACAAAGTTAAGCATTCATATAATAAATGCTTTCCATTTTGTTCTGAGGATAAAAATGGAAGTGGTGTTAACTTTATACCATATATTTATACAGAAGCAGCACCTATACTATTAATAACAAATTATTTGTGTTTTGGTGTGTTCTCTTCGAGTACAGTGTTATGCATTATACTCAGTGTTGGCTGTAGTTCATCATATTTTGATCCTGCTGTCAGTGGTTCTGGCAGAATGTGTGACTTCCAATGAAAACAATTATATTGCTGAAAAATACAAATTCACATCAGAACATATTTAGCATAGCTTTATGAAACTGAATATACTCTAGACATGCCTGAAATGAACTATTTTGATCCAAGGTAATTAGGTGAGCTTCATTCTACAGTTTTCAGTGATTTAATGAAGCTTTTTGAGAAGTTTCATGTTCACTTGCTATTTCTTAGAGGTAATTTTATAGTTCCCATCCTGTTTTCAATTAGAACCATGTGAATGTTACATTCAAAGATAAGTTTGTGGTTCACACAGGTTTAGTTTGAATTTTTGCACACTGGATCTTTGTTGGGAAATTTGAAAGATAAACAAGGCCTGCTATGTGAAGGAGGAATGATATTCATGTTCGTGATTCTTCTAGATTTTTTATATCCAGAATGTTAATTCAATGCTTCTGCAGCTTAAGACTATGTTACTTTTGAAGTGCACTTAACAGAAGCAAACTATGAGATGCAGAACAAAAGTAAGTTCTTCTTGCTTACTGTTGTAAACTGTTAATTCAACTATCACATTCTCAATTGTAAACTGCAGATAGAAGATAAATATTTATGTTAACCCACTTGACTTCCAGCTATTCTCAAAAAGGAAAATTATGTTTTCAGTGTACTCACTGTCTTTCAGTCAGAGGAGTTCATCTTGTAATTTCTGAAGCTGAATACAAAGCAAACTCAATGTATTTATATGATTGAAAGACACTATATCATGTGAATGTTCTTTTCACAGTTTTGAAAGAAAGTGAAGACAGCGTTGAAGGGGTGTCAGTATGTGGATAATCAAATTTTGAAAATACATTTGAGTGTGAATGAGAGTGAATAGTAGTTTAGTTTATGGCTCATAGTTCTATACCAAAGAAATCTTAAGAGTTATTATTAAGAAGGAAGTATGACAACCAGAATTTTATGTAAAATCACAAATGACTTCAGATTAGGAGACTGCCCTTTTAGTTACAGTTTAAGCATTTTTTTAAGTAATAACTTTGTATTTAGATGCTGTTTGGCCTATTTTCTGTGTGTTTCAAACTCCTGCAAATAGATGGAATGCTTTAAGAGATGTGAAGCCAACACCATGAATGTTAAATAATAAATAAATAAAAAGGAAAGGAAATACCACACTCCAAAAGCAACCACTGACTTATAAATGGGGACCAAAAATATGTATTGATGAAATACACATCTTAGTGGCACTTTTTTTTAATTTCAGAACAATCACAAATTGTATTCTGTTTGAAAGGTGTTTTGTGTTTGCATATAACTGTAACAAATTTAGCATGCCCACTGTACTTGAATGTAAGTTAAGTTCGAAGGTTTATGTAAAAATGTAACTGGGTTCCTGAAAGCTTTTCATGTGTTATTCAATAGAATTCTGAAAAAACCAACATAAAGTAAAGCCTAAAAGTATGATATTTATATCAGATGTCAGAAGCATAATAGTGAAATATCCAGATGCATTGTGGTCTCATTCACATTTAGCACACAGGTCCATCCAGGTAATTTGCATACTTGATAACAATGAAATGTTTATAATTAATTACAGCATTTGCCTTAAACATTATAGTGAAATAATGCTGTGGTATCATTCGTACACGTATTTAGCACACATGGCTGTCCAGTTATTTGCACACTTAATACAACTAAAATGTTCAGTATAATGTTAAAAACTACATTTTTTATTGATGTATTTATTTATTAAAAGTGACTGTTACATAAATATAAGGTGTAATTTGTATTGTTTTCATTAAATATGGCCTAGTCATGACAGTATGTTATGATATTCTCATTTAAGATTTTCCAGGAATAAAATAAAGGTAATCCCTGTAATAGGCCATGGAGGCCCATAGGGTTGTGAGATGTTGAGGCTCCCACATTTTTTAGGCAATCGGCTCACAGATGGCAGTGAGGTCAGTAATACATGCCGGTCACCCTTTACTCCCAGGAAGATTCCTGGTATTCATTTCTGGTAGAGGCTGAGTCAAACCCAGGGCCATAGGGCAGCTGGAAGGATTAGCACAATTTAAAAATCCAATGACAATGACCCATGACCTTTTGTAGAATAGTGCCTCAAGCAACAACGATAACACATGCCCAGATTTTCCAGGAATAGTGCTTTGGAACCTAAACTGAGACAAGAAATCATCCAGTTTAATATTCCACTTTATATTTTTTTCACTAGCATACAGTAAATGGTAAAGTGGTTCAGGAGGGAAGCTGGCCACTAATCTACACCAAGCATAGAAGTTAATGTATGGAGATGCACCTTCTGAAACACCTACATGTAGATTCAAGTATTCAGTTAGAGGCTGAAAAATTTACATAATTTGAGAAAATGAAATGCAGCCTGCGACAAATACTTTGAGATGTCTATATACATTTTGAGTCTCCTGGTGTCAGAGATACCCATACACTGTGTTACTGTTATGTTGGCAACTCTCAAATACTGAAATATAATGTTAGAGTTGGCAACATCGTAGTAAACAATTCAAGAATTAGGTTATTTCTTGTTACCTAAGTGATGTTTACTGTTATGTGTAACTACAATTAGCGTGTAACAACAGTATCTTTATATTATGTATTACTATGATTATAAGTTTGTATGTATATAAGGCGTACTTCTGAATGAGATTTCTGAGTCTTAATAAAGGAGTAGAGTGAACACTGATTCTTACTTATCATTCGATCTACGGGAAACTGAAAATAACAGATACACCTACCAGTTGTTGGGTACTTATATACTATTTGAGATACCTACATTGGGTTTGCTCAATTTACATACTTCAACCCATACACATACTAATCTATTACGGCTATTACTTAGGTATTTTTAAACCTTGCCACCAGAGTTCAGGCCTTTTACTTTGCAGCTTATGCTGCTATCTGACCACAGTGTCTGGAATTTATTTCCAAACGATCGGTATGTGTAACATTCACGTGTAATTTTTGCTTATGTTTCCCACTCTCCACTTGCACTGATTTAGATTGTGTAGTTCGCGGCCAATTAGAGCTCACATCATGCGTTGCTGTCTCGTCCGTACCTACGTATCAAGAAGGCAGCGTTTATAATGTTGACAACTTGACACAGTTCTTTCGAATGGCGTCCGGAGTTAGTGTGTGTTGATGGGACTGGGCAAAAATTGTAAAATATGGTATCTGCTGGCATCATCCCGACGTACCAGCGTTTTGTAAATGGTGTTCCGGTACCGTCATTTTCTCGGCGATCGTTTAGGCCAAGAGAGAAGCATTTAATTCTTTTAGTGTTCTTAACGTTTGGAGTAGTGTGGTTTGGAGCATTTTTTTTCTTGCCCGAATTCCGTGGTGGCTCGAACACGGTGAACAGTGTGTATAATGTTTATAAACATATGCAAAAGGCAGGGCCAGATTTATTAATACCTGCTCCACCCCACGGGGACGAATTTAGTGAAATTCCCGGAGGAGGTAAGTTAATCAGACATGACGATTTTGAACATCCAGACCCCCATAAAATTGAAGATAAGGCAAAACTGTTGGCAAAAATTGAAGAGGATGTGGAAATTGATAAAATGAGAAACCAAAAGGTGTTAGAAAGGCCAGATATTATAGATCAGCCAAATCATCCAGTGAGTGTGAGTTCAGAGAAAACCAGTGCTTCTCAGAAACAAGTTGAAGTTTTGGTGGAAGAGGTATCTGTACCACCTCATAACAAGATTATCACCATTCCACCAGCACCAAGTGATCATTATCCAGACACTAATGGTGGGGAAGATCCTGATCCAATAGCTCGTGAAAGAAGGCTTAAAGTGAAAGAGGTATGTGGAGTGTATGTAGTGTACCAAAGAGCTTGTAATTGTGTCTTATTTCTACCTTGTTTTATGTAGTGTTAGAAATTGACCGTGGCCTTGTATGATTGGCCGTAATATACAGTGTTTGGCAGGCAATTGGCACATTCGGTTGTAATGTCTTTAAGGATACTATTAATTAGAAAAGTCATGGTAAGTATGCATTAAAATATATTAACTTAGCGACAGGTAAAAGATAAAGTTGACTCTGTGTCTAAGCACCTTGCTATGAAGTGTAGGGGAATAGATGACAAGGTTTCACATAATTTCAAACCTCTGCTTCAGATTTGGGAGGGGGGGAACTGGGTGAATACTATTGTAAAAGCACAAATTCTTCAGGTATGTAAGAGTTCGGAAATTTTATATGCTTCACACATTATAATGTTGAATATGTAAGTTAAAGCTGTCCCTGTGCTTAACTAATTAAGCACTACACCATGAAGATGTATAGGGAAGTGGCTGTATAGGTCCACATTTTCTTGACCTTTGCACTAGTTGGAGGTGAGTGGTCAGCTTCACGCACACCCTGCCTGTTTACCCAGGGAAAGAACCCCTGTTATCCATTAGATAGGAGCTTGGGTGCACCCCAGAAGTGGTCTGAATGACGTGTAGAAGAGAAAATTTTTTACCCTACTGGGACTTGAACTCCAACCTGTGAACACACAGCAGAACTCCTGCCCCAGCTGAAATATTCAAGGCAGCCACAACCAACAAACCGAACAAAACCAAAGCAACCCAACTACACCCAAATAAAACTGATGGTAACCCACATAACCAAATTAACCAGAGGCAACTATGGTAGGAGGAAAGATAACCGTATTACAGCAAGCAGCAGAATCCATAACCATAACCATAACAACTTGCACACCTGAAGATGGCCAGTTAGGCCGAAATGTATAGTGTCCACTAAAGGAATGCAAAAAAAGTATGGTAAGTTATGTTGCACATAGATGGCACAACAGCTCCAAAGCCAGATTCCTTTTTCTTACAGACTATAGCTTAGTTAGTATAACAGTTGTGGTATCCCAGCTGGGTTTGATGATGAATTATATTAAATCTAATGTATTGATTGGTTTTAAAATTATCAACCATATTTTGTGTGCAACCTTTTTCTGCATGTTGATAATTACCATCATGAAATGGCAAGAAGTTATGAAGTCATATTTTCAGATACTGCCTTTATTGATGAAAATGTTACTTCAGTGTAAAACGCAATATAGAGTGCAATGCCTAATCCTGCCTTGGCTCTAAACAATCTGTTTATTGCTGATAAGTAATTTTTACAGTTTTAGTAACCATTAGTGCAATTTAACGACATCTCCATCATATAAATCGAGGCAGTTGTGCCGAGCAAATTGGATCAAATGGAATACTTGAGGTGTATATTCACTGCTACCTAGTTCGAACCTCGGCCTGGACCGCAGTTATCCTGGCAGATATTTTTCATATGTTGCCCCACCCCCTCCCGGCCAGCAGCCACTCCAGTCTTTAAGATTCACGGAACCTGAGCATCCTCTTAAATCGTTCTGTGCTGAGTGTTGCAGTTGACAGAGCTGTGTTAAATAACTTTCAGTCCCTCCAGCACAACTGGAAAGGCTTACTTCAGGCGGATGAAACAAAGGTATGCACTGCAATACCAGTGAGTAAAGTCGATAATAAAAGCTAAGTAAATATACTTTGTTAGTCACAGGTCACCCAAGAGAGAATCGTAAATTATAGGGAACTTGTTAACGTTACCATTATTAACAGTTTACATTGGCAGATATCAAATTGATGGCCCTGTTATTATTAGTCAGTACAGTTGCTCTGAATGTGCTAGGCTGCGGCATTCTGAGAACATGACACTCTCTGCGGCCCATCACATGTATACAGGTGTCATCAGCAAAGAGACCTAGATAGACACCAGGTGTTTGGGCATATCATTTATATATATATACTGTACAATGTGGGGGACAAGACGGGACCTTGTGGCACCCCTGCTTGTGTATCCCTTGGTGTAGACATTTCATCTTTGACTGAGACTGAAATTTCTCCTAGAAAGGAAAGAGCCTATAAGCTTCAATATATGGACCAAAAAAGTTTAATTCCAATAATTTATATAGCAAGCCAGGGTGTCTGTAAGAGTTACTTTACGACAGGTGGTTTACCGCCAATCAATTCATCTTGGCGTCAGGCCCCTTGAGGCCCATGATCAGAGATTCTTTCTTCAAACTGAACTCTTGCGGTAATAGTCCTTATGTAACATCCCTTCTAATGAGAAGATGGGGTCGTCTCTTATGGATACGCTTGGCCTTTCGTTAAGTGTATATTTCGCACATATAACATGTTATTGAAAAGTCTTCCTTTTGCACTACACACAAGTCCTCTGTCAGTACAGGCTTTACAGAGTAGATCATGCCTAACTTACATATCTTATGCTACAACGGCAGCTTAGTCGTTTGAACTGTCGTAAGCTTGACTACCGCCATCTGCTTCAAACATGTCCCGCTTATAACATTTCGGCACGGACCGAACAGAAAAACTTTCCTCGTTATTGTAGTTCAGTTGTTGCCGTGGAAATATGTTTGCGAAGCCATTACTCAGTAACGGCTGTTGTGTATTTGCTTATCTCGCGGTCGTTGCACAGCAACGGGTCTACATGCCACAGTATTCTCTGTTTAAGCAGCTAACCGGAATATTGTACACAGCGAAACATAGATAAATATTTGGTCCTATTTTCATGAGTAAATAGCGATCGCGGTGTTAATACAAGCTGACGCACAACAGATGTTGATGCTAATGGGACCGTCAGTCTCATAGTCAGCTCTCTAATAATTCAGTCATCCAGTAGCGACCGCCTTTCGTTTGTTTCAAGGAGCAACTACGGTCAGTTGAAAGAAGTTTTCACGTAATTTCTTCTATTGAATGTCGGTTTCTTATTATTTCCGTCACCCAGTATATATTCTTACTTCGAGTAAAAAGTGCTTTTCTGGATTACAAATGTCTGCCGACTTCTCAACCAACAGGTGTATGCACAACTTAAAAAAAAAACTCGCTGTGAACATCCTTTAGTTATAATGGGTAGCCGTCGGCGCGAGTATTATAATTTCTTTCTTAAACTGCAGTAGTATTGCTTATTTACCGGCACGCACTAACGTAATTAGTTGAGGCACTATGCTACAAGCCGGAAAGTCGCGGTTTCGATTTCCCGATGAGGTTATTGCTTTTTTTCAGTTGACCTAATCCAGCTACACTATGGCCCTGAGGTCGACTCAGCCTCTAACAGAAATGAGTACCAGGAATCTTCCTAGGTGTGAAGGGCGGCCGGTGCGTAAGGCTGACATCCTCACCGTCATCTGTGAGATATTTGTCTAGAAAATGTGGAAACCTCAACGTCTCACAACCCTGTGGGCCTCCATTGCCTATCACGGGGATAGCTTTACTTTCTTATTTATAATATCGTTTATTCGAATTACTGGTACATGACGCCATACCCCCAGAGATAATGCATGCTTTCATATTGTCAAAATTGTTGACTTACGTTGTGGAAAAGATAGGCCTTACGGAGTACGTATCGAAAATATTTTCGAAATCGGCACACATTCTTAAGATTCCGAATAACACTGCAAGAAGCGGAAGTACGCGAATTTGAAATCTGCTAACAAATTGTTAGTAAGAACGCGAACTTTATAAAGTGTTTACTTAAAGGTATATTCCCATGACCTCGAGGAAACAACCTTGAGAACTTGAACAAGAACAATACGTGCTTTTTTCACATCCCGTAATTTACCCCTAAGAACCTGGGTCTGTTTAGTACGGAGACCTATGTACAGTACACGCGTATTATATGCACAAGTGTGCTGCAATATGAACGGAACATCATGAGGTATTCAGTGCTTAAATAAATCATTCTTGTCGGATGGTGGGTGTGGTACAGACAAGCAATTGAAGCAGAATAACGACAGAAAATAAAGAAGAGAAAAAGAGAAACTAGCGTTCCATCAGTGCCAGTTGAATCAATAGCCGGTATTCATCACATTATAACGCTGTATGAGACCTCCAGAAGGGAGCCACCATTCCCTCGCTATCGCAGCCTCTCACGTCCATTGTATTTTTTTTTTAGAATGGAGATCCCATAGAACTCGACTCCAGACGTTTTTGTTCAGGATTTTTGAGGTTCAGGTTCTTTTGAAATGTATGCTGTTCGGTGAACATCTTGTGCTATCCAACCCGCATCTTCTGTCCTTGCTCTTCAGTTTGTTGCTTTCTCAGAATTACCTGCACGACGCTATAATATAAGTCCTGCCAACTCCCTCTAACTTAATTCTGTCTTCACCTACAGATGATTCGTAGTGTATTTTGGAGATACTTTATTTCTTGGAATTATTGGTGACCGACTGCAAACTGGATGATCAGGAATCGATTTCTAGCAGTGGCACAGTTTTTTCCCTTCTCCATTACGCCCAGGCCGATGTGGGGCTCAACTAGCCAGTGGTTGGCGGAGGATATTTCCTCCGGGACAAAGCGAACGGAGCGTGAATATGGCCAGTCAGGTCTATTGAATACCGAGGATTGGTGTACATTAAGTTTTACTTCAGCATTTCCCGTACTCCTGGATATACGAGTATGGGGATTAGGACGTCAAATTTTCATTTTCATAAGAGCACTTAGGGATTTTTCCAGTCATGTCCATGGCCGGAAGAATTGACGGTCTCCTTCCCCCCAGTTCTGGTTATACTTGGTACTCATTTCATTGGATAAAAGCAGCCGGAACTAAAAACTATTCATCTCTTGCCGAAGCTGAGATTTCACTCCCATAATCTGTCTTGTACCTTGTTTTAGGCATAGCGTTAATGGAAGGATAATATTAAAATGGGTCTGAAAGAAATAGGGCGTATTTGAACTTGATTCGTCAGGCTTAAGGGAGGGGACAGTGGCGTGCCCTTGCTATCACGGTAATGAACCTTCAGATTAATAAAAATGGGGATATTTCTCAAATAGCTAAGCCCAAGCAACAACAACTTATAAGCTGTTGTTATTTCCGCAGTATGTGTTGTTCTCCCCACACATGGTAAACGCTTTTTTTTTTAATTCCGGGAGAACACGATAGAGTTCCTAGCGATGTAATTTTCACCGTTCCTCAGTTCAAGTTGTATATCCAAGTATTATTATTCGTATGCTACTTGGATTTGAAATTATCATTTTATTTCCTCCCTCGGGGTAAGAGATTGAGCTTCTTACCCACACAAAAAAAAAATTCTATGTAATGTGAGGCAAAAGATGTACTCCTGGAGAATTCATACAAGCGCTCTCTTAAAATTACGTCTATAATAGTGCTGAAAATCTCCAAATTATACACAAAAGGCCCACCCAGCCTCCTATGCAATGGGTACGGGGGTAAAGCGGCAGGGGCGTGAAGCTGACCACACCTCCATCTAGTGCCGAGGTCAAGAAAATGTGGATCTATACATCCATTCCCCCATACGCCTTCATGGCGTAGTGCTTAATTAGTTAATAAATTTAAACAAGTTGTATTTTCGAAAAGCTCTTACCTGTGCCTGATGTAGGCCAAAACCCACAATTAATTGTCTTCGTTTTAATTCACCTTCGTCTTGTCTCTCTCAGCCAAGAAGAAGAAACGCAGGGCAGTTGCCAAACAGAAAGTAAGAGCTCACTGAAAATAAAATGGCTAATATTGATGTATTCAACATAGACCTTGAATTCGGTGTATCAGATCTGTCAGTTGCAATGGTTTAGCTGCTCAACCAGACGATACGTTTCACTTGGCCGTACCCTTTCACAGACCATGTTTATAGTCACGTTATTAAAATCGCTGTTACTACATAGGATGGATCTGTGACATTATTAGCTAACAGCTAAATCATTCACAAACCAGTGACATGTCAGTAACACTGTATTTATTATGCCTGTGTGGGAGGATCCGGAGTTTTTGAGAATAAAACGATTGAAAGTTGTAACATCGCGTTTTTCTGGTTAGTGCTCGAATGAAGACAGTTCTCGAGGAAGGAGCAATATGGGAAAGAAGTCGCGAATTTAAGGTACCATATAAGAATTTATGACCGCCTCTGTGGTCTAGTGGTCAGAGTTCCTGGCTACAGATACAGAGGTCCCAGGTTCGATTCTCGGCGCTGCCAAATTTTCGGAGAAGTCTGGAACGGGTTTCACTCAGCCTTATGAGGATAATTGAGGAGCTATTTCAAGGATAGCGGCTCCGGTCTAGAAAACCGAAATTTACGGCCGTGGGGATTCGTTGCGCCGTCCACGTGACACCCTCTATCCGCTAAAGTTGGCACTAATTTCGCCGACAAGCGGCGGTCGCTTGGTCGGTATAGTTCGCTTGCGGACTCGAGCCACGGAGTTTTTTTTTTTTTTACATTTATTCGAAACAGTAGATATTAGACTTAAGCTTAGTCTTAGAATATATATGTGGGATTTCGAATAAATAGGATTATCTTCATGTATATCCATAGTAAAGTGGCAAAAGAAAATGATACAGAATTTGTAACATGTAATATTATTGACAGAATACTTCATGGTTTGTGTTCAAACGTCACACAGACTTGGTGGTGACGTTTAATCTCGATCCTTAAATTATAAAACACAGACATGATGCTACCATGTAAAATCGACCGAGTACTTGTTATACCATGTGTTGCAAGTCTAGATTACCAAAGGAAAGCAGATAAGGAAAGGTAAAAATGTGAAGTTGTCCCTGTGCTTAATTAATTAAGCTTCACGCCATGGAGAGTGGAGGTATAGCTCCACCATTCTTGACCTCGGCACTGGATGCAGTTGATTGTTCAGCTTCACGCCTCGGGCGTCTATACCCCTGAAGACAGAGCACCTGGTACCCATTGAATAGGGGGCTGGGTGAACACCAGTGTCGATCTGAGTGCTGTAGAGTAGAGAAAAGAAATCTTACCCCTGCCGGGAATGGAACCCCGGTTGTCCAGGCCGCAGCTTGTCTCCGTACCGGCTTGAAGATTATTGTAACTCAGTAAAGTGAACCGTCGCGGCTTGATGGCTAGGCTCCGAACATCTGGAGGGGTACCAGAAACGTTTTCACACATCTGCACCGGTTGTGATACCTTCCAGCAGTCTGCCACCTGCTGAGCTCTTCCCGGCTCCACCAAAGAAGTGAAGACAACAGAAAAAGAAAAGAGGATTTAAATATGTCAATAGCGAAAGTGAAGACTAACAGATTCTTTATTTATATAGATTCGTTTAGCGACCCTTTCAATTGGTTGAGGCACTATGCTATAAGCCGGAACGTCGCGGGTTCGATTCCCGATAAGGTCATTGGATTCTTCGATTGACCTAATCCTTCCAGCCGCACTATGGCCCTGGGAGTCGACTCAGCCTCTAACATTAATGAGTACCATGAATCTTCCTGGGGGTAAATGGCGACCTACGCATAAGGCTGACAACCTTACCGCTATCTGTGAGCCAATTGTTTAGAAAATATGGGAGCCTCCACGTCTCAAAATCCTATCGGCCACGGATAGCTTTAATTTATTTAACAACCATTTGAGTAGCTAAGGTTTTTTATTGCTAGTGGGGTTGGACTAAGTCCCTTGTACTGATGCCACTTCTGGCCTATGTAGTAGCTAAGGTTACTCGTATTTAACATCCAAATTATATGGAAATTTATCTTTATGGTACTGTCCCTGCTCTTATCTTGAGTTAATGAGGGAACTTTGAAAAGTCTCAGTCAGGACAGCCGGTGTCCAAACCAAGGTTTGGGTCTGAGACTTCCTGAATACGAAGGAGTGGTAAAAATTGGACTGCAACGCTCAATAAGACTACCAGCAGATGTATTACAGAATGAATGTCTACCTTCTCTTCATTGTGGAAGGTCAGCATAGTCACCAATCCTGATCTTGAAAGAATTCCTCTGTTCACAACATTTTACGCTCTTCCCCTAAGATAAATTCAAATATTGGCCCTTCTCCTGCCCTGGTGTCGATATGTTACGGTTTCTTCACTGTATTCAGCAGGTACAGCCTTCTGATTTTTTCTTCAGTGTGACCGTGATCTTAACAGTACTGCAACGTGTAGACCTACAACTAACAGAATTTCAGCGGTTGTCACAGATATCTGATGACTGTAAAATTATGGATGTATACAACGGTGTAACAATATTTTGAAGCGTAGTAGAGTAGTCCACTCAGCCTCGTGAGGACAGTTGAGGAGCTATTTCAAGGAAATAGTGGCTCCGGTCTAGAAACCCGAGATTAACGGCCTTGGGGATTCGTTGCGCTGACCACGCGACACCCTCTATCCCCTAAATTTGCCACTAATTTCACCGACAATTGGCGGTCGCTCGGTTGGTATAGTTCCCTTGCTGACTAAAACCACGGAGTAGAATAGTTTATCAGTTTTATGAAGCCGTGCTGTTTGCATTAACCGTCCCCCCATTATTTCCGGTAATCGCTTCTTTTACACGAAAGTGCATGCTTCTAGCGCAATTCGTCAATGACTTTATTTGTGGGTGGATAGACAGAGAGACAGCAGGTAAAACGCCAAAGTGGAGTTTATGTACGCAAACGGACGTATTTGGTTACGAAACGGTTCAAGTACTTTACCCAGTCTTGAAGAAAATTGTAATTTTTGTCTTGATACGCATCAAACTATATGGAATGTTTGAATAAAACGTACACAGTTTAAGAATAATGAATAATAAAATGAAAATTCAGTACACTAATTGTCGGTTGTTCCGGTCAGATAGAATAAAACATTGAAATATGGACTGTCAGTTAGAGGTATGTGCAATAAATATTGTGTTACGAATTTTACCACCTAAAAGGAAAGTTTTTAGTGGGATTAAAGTGTGAGCATATATGTACGAGCTATTAGGTTTTGTATCTATCTGTTGACCTCACCGCTATCTGTGAGTTGATTGTCCAGAAAATATGGGAGCCTCGACGTCTCAGAACCCTATGGGCCTCTGCGGCCTGCTACAGGGATACCGTTACCTTTTTACCGTACTGTTGAATAGTGAACAACTAATTATACATTCCTGCTGCTGCTGTTTGGGATGAATGGATGAGAGAAAAAGTCGGCTTTGCTTTATCGTTTTCTGTCAAAACAACTTTATACAAGTTGTGCAAACACTTTTCCAGTCGCAAGAGGACGTTCGTTACAGACTTTATTCAAGTTCACAACAGAACTTTGTAACAAAACCCTAAATTCCTCGTACTTAGAGCCTCGTTGTTAAAATCGTTTTTATTTAACGTATTTCTTTATTTGCCTCAAAATCTACTAGAAACAGAAGTTCAGCTTTCTAGGAACAGAGAGACATCTTTTCATTCATAAGTGAAGCTGGCCCATTTTCAGTCTCCAGCAGGTACCGAGGATGGCTTATTAGTTTGCGAGTTACTTAAGAACGCTGGTTCAGCTGGTGACCGCCTTTGTGGTCTAGTGGTCAAGAGTTCCTGGCTACAGATCCAGAGGTCCGGGTTTGATTGTCGGCGCTACCAGATTTTCTGAGAAGTGGTGGGTCTGCAACTGGGTCCACACAGCCTCGTGAGGATAATAGAAAAGCTATTTAAAGGAAATAGCGGCTCCGGTCTAGAAAACCGAGATTAATGGCCGTGGGATCCGTTGCACTGACCAAGCGACACCCTCTATCCCCTACAGTTGGTACTAATTTCGCCGACAAGCGGCGGTCGCTCGGTCGGTATAGTTCGCTTGCGGACTACAGAAAAAGAAATACAGTAAAACTTGGTTATAGCAACATCGGTTTCTGCGACACCTTGTCTATTGCGTCAAATATTCAATGGTACGAACTAATTCCTCATAAAGCAACTGTTTTTATACCTTGCTTAGTACGACATGCACAAATGCATCAACCTCGTATGTAACGTCATTTTCATTCCTGAATTTCTCTGATATGGACATTGAACGTAATTTAGAAAGTGTGTATTGGGCAAGTAACAGGAAACAGATGAAGATAACTGATTACTGTACTCGTATCTAGGTACAGTAAGGC